TTGCCTAGAACTGCAGCCTGTATGCTTGACTGTTTCATTTCCCAAAGTATCCTAGATACAATATCAACCAGTCTGATCCCCCTGTCTGTCTGTCTGTTTTCGACATAGAACTTTGCACAAATGTGCGGAAGTTCAAGTCGCCACAATCCGTGTAGCACGCGAAGCAAGAGAAGAAAGTAAAAGAAAAGCATAATAGAAACAGTGAGCAGAGGTGTGAGACAAAGGAGGAGTAATAACGAAGAACAAAACAGTTTCATTGGAGATCATAAGTCACAGGGAGTGGATGCATCTGCGATAGCCACTGAGAACGATTTTGAGCCATGCCACCAATTGTTTCCAACCATAGATTTTTACCGTCCCGAGGACCCCAGCCTGGAAGTCTACACCTTTCTACGTGGCTTAGACCAACTGTTGTGGATTTCGTTGACTGGTTCGGCCAAGTTTTTGTTTGACCGCCGCTAGCTTTTTTCCAGCCTGACCCTATATCCGCCAACATTGCTCGTCGAGGGAGGCGATGGCTTGGCATACGTAACACATGTCCTAACCATCTCAGTCTTTGTAGCTTCACGACTTCGTCGATTGATTTCCCCTGTTTACCTAGAACTCTACACCTAACCTCCATGTTGCTCACCTTATTATGCCACTTTACACGGGAAATAGAACGTAGGCACCTATGATCAAAGACAGCTAGTCTTTTCATGTCTTTCACTCTCAGTGGCCAGGTCTCACAACCATAAAGGAGGACGGAGCGGACTGATGAGCAGTACACCCACCCTTTGGTCGATAGTCGAACATCCCGTCTACGCCAGAGTCGGCGTAAACTAACAAATGCGAAACGAGCCCCTTGTATTCGTGCTGAGATTTCGTCAGAGATCAACCCGTTGGCACTGGCTGATGGTACTTCCCAAATAAGTGAAGCGGTCAACGTGCTCTACCACTTCACTTCCTATTTTTAAACTAGGCGTCGATGTAGTCCAGTCCTGTAACATCATCTTGCATTTGGCGGGAGCGAGTCGCTCGCATGCCAAACATTCGTAGATTGCGGCTCAACGTGTTTAGAAGATTCTGCATTTCGTCAGCGTCTTCGCCTAGAAGGACTATATCGTCTGCATATTCCAAGTCAACGAGATTATTCCCCGGTAGCAAGTCAATTCCTGAGTCACTGAAGTCACCTAGGGTTAAGTCCACTAACACATCTATGATGAAGTTGAATAGAAAAGGAGATAATGGGCATCCTTGACGGACACCACTGGTCGTCATCAGTTCAGATGACAGCTCGCCGTAAGCCCTCACCTGGCTGTATGAGTACGGGTAGAGTGCCTTAATCAGTGCAATATATTTTCTTGGAATTCCCTTTACAGCCAAGCTTCTCCAGAGAACATCTCGATCGACAGAGTCGAATGCTGCCTTTAGGTCAAGAAATATAATGACTGTTGGACGCCGGTAGGAATGCCTATGTTCTAGAATCTGTCGGAGGGTGAAGATATGATCAATACACCCTCTTTCTGGTCTAAAGCCTGCCTGGCTCTCTCGTGTTTGTGCTTCCCGAGCACCACTCAGTCTACGCATGATCTTGAGCCTAAGACTTTAGATACTATATTAGTCAAGCTAATCCCTCTGTGATTATCACAGATCCCCTGTGATCAGCACAGGGGAAGCCTGGCCATCTACACAAATCTGATGAAGCTATCTAAGACCACCACACCACATTGACTAGAACACCAATTACCCCACTCCACTATTCACCACTCCCATCTTGAAACATCTGAAGATTTTTTTGATTTTTGATTTACAGCTTGATTCCACACTGTATTTTTGGTACAAGTACGGAATTTTCAGCATGAATATCGGTAGCCACGCTGTTGGTCAGTTGACGCAATCCGCTTCGTCTTAGATCGCAGAGAGATTCTGCAACCTCAACTACAGTTCTACCAGCGATGTCTACATTGGGAAAACAAAGCTACCTCAAGTGCTAATTTCCTCACCAACTGAGAAGAAAAATATCACTACTTCACTATATTAACAAAACATTGTGGAGAAGGGAAGTTAGTCACCAGATTCACCGACTTACACAAAACTCCTCAATAACACAAGGTGAAATATTAAATGAAAATAACAAATAGTATCAGCACAAAATATTATGAAAGGACAATTACCAACAGCAGACGAAACAGACTACCTGGAGATGCATTTGTGAGACCAGCAGATCGTGATGTAGAAGTAGAGACGCCATCTAGCATTAGTGAACTGGAAACACTTGGCGTAGTTATCAAATCTCTAGTATTATCTATAGCGCCAGCATATCGATTTTCCGTGAACCAATCAGCTTTATTAACACTTTCACCTGAAATTTAACATATAACACATATTATATGACAACAAAAATTACGTCTAAGTCAACTTTCATATTTATGCACGATGTGAGCTGGAACTATTACACCTTTCCTCAACATATAGACATGAGTTCAATATGATAGGAGTGATGAATGAAATGATTTCCTGTGACCACTTTGTCACAATACCAAAGTAGAATAGAATATTACTCCACTAGTGATCTTAACTGCTACACGTCATTTCTCCACATTACAATTATAATTCAGTTTCCCACGACTGCCTTTATGAGTTACATTTGACAGATGAGGACTGATAACGATAACCAGTTCCCTAGGCTAAAATGTGCAGAACGGGCTTCCGACCGTCTCACCCATTAACTGAACGCTACATACCTAACCCAATCAGCCATACATCAATGCGCATCAGGCAGGATGGAAATAATCTAATCGGTCGTAAAGCAGGATAAAACGAAGAAACAGAAGATAAGGTAAACAGAGAAATAAGCTATTATAACAAGGATTGGCACAAACCATGAATTCACCCCTATCATCACTGCGATCAATTCGGAACACTATCATAAGGAGTATCTAGCCATAGGTTCTGATCGGCGTCCGGCTGGTTCATTTAAGCGCTCCACTTTCAGTCCATGGGTTCGCGGAATTCAAATCCTGTAAAGTCAAATTCATCCTACCCAACTTGGTAGCAATCTTAGTCTTCACAAAATATGTGTGGCCTACGGTCCGATACACGAGATATCTGCTTTGGGCAACTCAGTCACTTTATGCTGCTGATATATTGAATATTCCAAGTATACCCCCACACCAATATCTTACTTTCCCCCTGTGCTATTTGTTCACATCCCCATCCTTTACATTCCTTATTCCTACTCAAAAAGATACAACTTACGAAAAAATAAACAAACACAACTATGATGCAGAAACAGCTTAAGTTGAATTCCGGTAATTGGTACGATATAAACAATTCTGAGTCCTTAATTTCAAAACTTTCAAGTTAAAATTAAGCAAAAAACAGTTACAATAAATATTTCTTACCTGCTCGCCAACGTTTTAATTCACTCTCCAGATGACTTGCAATAGTGTGTAATTTACCAACCTTCTCTTTTTCTTGCTCATATCTCCTACGCCATCCATCAGTCGTCATTTCTTCGTTCACCGTTACCAGATTCTTGATGGTCTTAGCTCGCATACCGAACATTAGGGCGGACTTCGTTTCGACTTCATTGTAACCAGCAGGAGAACAACAGATCACCATAGTTGTTCGTGCATTTCCTCCAAGAGATTCTTTAAGAATGCGAGTTAGTTTAGAGACACGATAAGGAACGTGAGGCTACAACAGAAAATTATTTAACAGATCAATAGTTTCATAAGGCAGTAGCAGTCATCTTCAAATAAGTACAACATATGCAGACAAGAGATTCAGGTCACCGTAGAAGCTAGAAATACGATTTAGTGTGATGGATTCTTCTGCCTCAGAAACATACACGGTACAGAACTCTGCTAAGAATCAAACACATAAAAACAGGCGTGATCAAAACACAACAATTCAATATCTCATGCGTCTTAATCGCGTGGAAATTTCAAGTCAACAGTGGCTACAATATCACCACCACCATCACAACCTGAAAGTATAAACTTACCCTGCCTTCCACAAGTGCATTGATCACATTACCAAGAGCAAAAAGTGATTTGTTAATATTTTTGGCTTCGTCCAACACAGTACCCCCAGCGCCTGTCTTCGCAACATCCTCACTACCAGCCAAATCAACAAGATAAAGTTTCCCATGTAGTTTCTTTCGAGTTTCCAAGTTCTCTTGTTGAACATTGATTAGGAGAACTGAGTGACTTCGAGAACTGTGCTCATTCATGTCTATAAATGGATAAGAAGTCAAACAGTGTCACATAGACCCCAAAATAACTTAAATTTCATGCACAAAAACGTAATATTTCAGTCAAACCACCAAGCCTAGCTAACACTCAGGTACGACATATACTAGGAATACTTACTCGTTACGGCTACATGACGGTTGGCCTTCCCCTTGGCAATGGCTTTATAAACCTCTTCTGGAGTGGAAACAAACTTTTCCGTGACACCCTTAGAGATTCTTGTTAGGGAGGAATTATATCTTACTTTCACGTAAGGAACTCCGTCTTTATCTTCATGGACCTTTAGGTTTGTCCTCGAAACTGAATCAAGATATAAATTAGATCGAAAACATTACCATCAAGCAGATCACGGATTTTTTCCATATATATTTCAAAGTAAGAAACCTGAAGATAAGAAGAGCAGCACCACAAAAATTACCTTAATATGGAACTCCAAGTTCTCGTCCATTTGGTATATATGGTTGAATATATCATGAACTATCCGCGGGATAACACCTTGAAAGACTGGGTCACCTAAAATACCCTAAGGAGAAGCAATCAGAAAACAGAATGTCACACCTCCATAGTAAAAGTCTTTCCACTTGATGTTTGACCATAGGCGAATATTGTCCCATTATATCCATTCAACACATCTGCAACAATAGGCTTGGCCACAACTTTGTAAACCTCCAACTGAGATGCCTTCGGCTGAACTACGTGATCAAAGCTAAAGATTTTACCCTAGATAGAAAAGTTGTCACAAATTAAAACCATCAAACATACCCTAAGAGATACAGTTGTGTTTCCATCACCGGGGAATGACACCACAAACTTGCTGTCGTTTGCTTTCTCTTGCTCACTAAGTGGCCTCACACGGCACACAACTTTAATACTCTCAATCATAGCAACCAATAAATTTGAGTCTGAAAAGCTGAGTAACTTCTCAGGAGCCCGCCAACGTCTTTAAGCAATCAGATGAGCAGACAGATAAACAAAGCAGAACACATATTGAACAGTATGTGTAAAGTTAGCCTGCATCAAAATGAAAGAGTGAGGGTGAATCCCTTGCAATCTATACAGTCTCCCTTCGTTTGTCTGTCTCCTCTCCTCAGTGCCAAGTTTAAGAGACTTGGTACTCTGTTCATCAAGCGGCTAGTTTGTAGAATTCGGGAAGGTTGTCGTGATAGAATGCACGGTAGGGTCCCAGCTGACTACAGTGAGCAGCAGAAATGACAATCTTTCATGAAATACGTATATAGGTGTTGTGCATGAGTGATTTCAAATGGCATCTGAGATGGAGAATAGGATTTTCACCTTCATCGTGATGGGCAATGGAAATGAAAATAGATGCAAATTGAGTGAAAAATATCCACAAATTAGAAGACCATAGGTATTTTTCCACTGATAACTAAATGACAGATCTCTTGTGCATGCCATATCATAGGCTATTGCCAATCAATTACGCGATTCTCGAACCTACCTGAGCAAAGGATAGGACTGGTGTTTGAACCTCAACTATGAGATGTGATTCGTGAGTAAATTGAAGTAGGGTAGGAGAAAAATCCGTGGATGGATGAACGGAGGAGTGGTCGGGAAGTGGACTGAGGGATATTACATTATTCCTGGTATTTATCGTCAATCGACAGAGAGAATGGTGAAGAAGGGCACTAATTGTCCGATTAGTGCTCTCCAGTAAACCACTCAGCTCTCGGTGGCTTGACGGTTGAACACCTGCCAGCCATGCTTGTGGTCCAGTGTCCTATCCCTGGCCGATGCACTCCTTTCCCTCGCTAAGCCGATAATAAAACTAGTAAAGAGGGAAGGTTGGGCATTAGGCTAGTAACTCCACCCCATAAAGCAAATGCCACTGCTACCGAAACGTCAAAGCCCTAGCCTGAAGCCCTGCTCCACTGAGAATGTAAATGAATCAAAAAACTGAAACACTCTTGATTCAGTAATGAACGACCATGTGGCTCGAACGCAGTCGTGCAGAAAGCACTTCAGATGTTAGCAATAAGTTGACCATTAAAAACGACACTGCGATTACAGTGTAGTGTTTGTGGAGTCCCTAACATAGAAATTCCATGGCCACTGAACTCCAGACCAAGGATGGTTGCACCGCTTCACACTCCGGTGATCTTGTTTCGAAGTTGCCAGTTCCTCCGTGATACAAGCACTCAAGCTTTGCTTCTATACCTGTTTAACATGGTTATGAGGGGCACTGGCGATGACTCTAGGGGTGGCTTCTCTCAGCCACAGATATCACAGGTGATAGAGCTCAGAGACACCATGATGCCACAGTGGCCACCCAAAGTTTTGATGGATGGCATGTTCTATCTGGTGTATATCAGCATGGCGGAGTCTGCAGTGAATGTGAATGCCCGGATTCTTGACATCGACAACCAGGTGACAGGGAGGTGAGTTTGGTCTCACTACATGTGGAACCTCAATAATTAATTAGCTCAGACATGGTACTGCACGTGCATCACCACCTGGCAAATAAGTGCTACAGTCATTTACCTCAACTTTCGACATATTCTTTAGTTTCTAGCCGGTTGTAAGCCTGTGAGAAGGTGGAGTTTTGGGAGTGGATTTCGATTCAATCACGGAAAACCAATCTAGACACTACAGAAACTTCAGAGTACTCCGAAACTATCAACATAAAATAGGTCCTAATTAGAATGTGGCCGGCTTCTGAGAGCCTCTGGAAAGACACCCATCCGATTTGTCTTCTTACTATGAAGTCAAAACAAACATTTGCGCATGAAACGCTCGTACAATGTAGGGAACTCGGAAGGCTACCCAGATTTTTAAAGAAACCAGAACAGCAAGATGATACTTCCGATTTAACCACTGCCTCTCCAAATTTAACTTACCAGTAAATCGAATGACTTTCAAATATGGCTGCAAAGTCTTACACGTATCATGAAATACTCATAAAACTAACATTCGATCAACACCATCACTAGGGAAAATGTGCCCGATATATGTTATTATTTGATACTTTTTACGGTATTGAGAGTTTCCACTGGAATTTGACATATCGCGTGTGCCGAGAAAATCGCAATTTATATTTTGTGTAAACAGGCAAATTTGTATGAAATGCATGCCATTTTTACGCGCATGATAGGATATGGTATGAATTGCAATATTGCAGTGTCAGTGAATAGACACCATTTCAAAAGTTTAAATAGTTGAGTAGTAGTAGTAGTGTAACAACAGAATACAAGGGCCAGGCAACAGATCGTTTTATTATGAAAATCAACACGTATTTATACATATTTCAACTACATTATTATAGACAAGCGCAGTCATCTGATTGGTTGTTTAGGTAGACAAACGCAGGCTTCTGATTGGTTGTTTCGGGATTCCTTGACAAATAGAGTTCTCTATCTGCGAATCATATTTTGCCACGTTAACTTTGCTGTGATTGGTTGTTGACTCAGCCTTGTTCATATCTTCTCACGGCCCATATTAGTGACCTAGACCTTAACGTAGATTAGTGCCAACCAATCGGCTAGCAGCCTGCTCTCACCACACTCGTCCCCCGTCAAATACGTGCGACTGAAGTCGGCTTGATCTACTTGGTGCAGGCGTCATCGTTGGCTTGTCTCGCTGTATCCATTTCTGGAGCTCGCTGACGTTCACGCGCCTCTCATTGTTCGCCATTGCGACTGTGTCTGCGTAACCCCATCTCGAAGTGACCATATATGGTCCTTCCCACTTTGGAAACTGTTTGCCTGACCCTGTCGAACATTCGTCCATACTTCGGCTCACACTTTCATATGCTGCTTTCACCCGACCTCCCAGCAGCGTCCCAAGTAGCAGCTCCATCGCTGACAGATCTTGAACGCCACTCAACTGCGCAGAAGCCTTGAAGTCCTGCCCGAAGATCCATATGTCTCCATCGAAAACAGCAGGGCATAGGCTTTCCATTTGTCGGTAGGCAGCGACACCAAATGTAACAACAGAAGACAAGGGCCAGGCAACAGATCGTTTTATTATGAAAATCAACACGTATTTATACATCTTTCAACTACATTATTATAGACAAGCGCAGTCATCTGATTGGTTGTTTAGGTAGACAAACGCAGGCTTCTGATTGGTTGTTTCGGGATTCCTTGACAAACAGAGTTCTCTATCTGCGAATCATATTTTGCCACGTTAACTTTGCTGTGATTGGTTGTTGACTCAGCCTTGTTCATATCTTCTCACGGCCCATATTAGTGACCTAGACCTTAACGTAGATTAGTGCCAACCAATCGGCTAGCAGCCTGCTCTCACCACACTCGTCCCCCCGTCAAATACGTGCGACTGAAGTCGGCTTGATCTACTTGGTGCAGGCGTCATCGTTGGCTTGTCTCGCTGTATCCATTTCTGGAGCTCGCTGACGTTCACGCGCCTCTCATTGTTCGCCATTGCGACTGTGTCTGCGTAACCCCATCTCGAAGTGACCATATATGGTCCTTCCCACTTTGGAAACTGTTTGCCTGACCCTGTCGAACATTCGTCCATACTTCGGCTCACACTTTCATATGCTGCTTTCACCCGACCTCCCAGCAGCGTCCCAAGTAGCAGCTCCATCGCTGACAGATCTTGAACGCCACTCAACTGCGCAGAAGCCTTGAAGTCCTGCCCGAAGATCCATATGTCTCCATCGAAAACAGCAGGGCATAGGCTTTCCATTTGTCGGTAGGCAGCGACACCAAATGTAACAACAGAAGACAAGGGCCAGGCAACAGATCGTTTTATTATGAAAATCAACACGTATTTATACATCTTTCAACTACATTATTATAGACAAGCGCAGTCATCTGATTGGTTGTTTAGGTAGACAAACGCAGGCTTCTGATTGGTTGTTTCGGGATTCCTTGACAAACAGAGTTCTCTATCTGCGAATCATATTTTGCCACGTTAACTTTGCTGTGATTGGTTGTTGACTCAGCCTTGTTCATATCTTCTCACGGCCCACATTAGTGACCTAGACCTTAACGTAGATTAGTGCCAACCAATCGGCTAGCAGCCTGCTCTCACCACAGTAGTAGTACAAGCAATCAGAACAGGTTCGTGTAAATGACAAAGTGTAAACCCCTTAATAAGGTCACCAACAAGGTTGGGCGGCGACCCGAACTTCATTCCGTTTCCTGATGATAGTTATGGTCAACCAATCAACAGTCCGTATGTGGGTAATTGTTGTGTTCACATGCGATCAAAAGCCATTTCAGGAAGAGAAGAACGTTCTGAGAAACTATAAGAGGGTGCAAAATGGAATTATGGATAAAACATCATTGAAGGTACATTTACAAGATGTATCAAAGAATGAGCGATAGAGTCCTTGGGATGGTAATGTACATTTGCGGTATATAATGCTAACCATATTGGTCCTACAGTAGAAACCATGAAGTTTCAACGAAAATATAGCTATGCTGAAACGTTGATGTTGTTGTCGTATTTCCTTCATCACCACAACCAGACTTTAGGAGGGCGAAGTACTAGAATGAAAAGAGTAAGTCTTAGCCTCATAGAAGGACTAGAAAGTTAAGCTACAATGGTGTATAACAGCTCTTCGCTGAAGAATTATTGCCAAGTTTATAAGTGATAGTTTGATGAGTAGCGCATTCAAAGGTCTGAAAGATTAGAATCTGTAGGAGACACTGGCCCGTAAGATGTTTCGGGGACAGCGTGAGGTCCAGCGTGGTAAGAGCTGGACATTGACAGTTACTGAGAGTTGTCTGACAGGTTTAATTCACTTATGTGTGCTCAGTCTCGATCTGCTAAAACTGACGACACTTTTTCTACTATCAACGTGCGTAATTCAAGGTAGCGTACTCGAACCTCTCTTCGTTCTTTTGTAATAATGTATATTTCTCCCTGTTTAAGCAGGAACATACTTATTGTACAGGCATGAATAAGTTGTTATATAAATTACACATGATTTGATGTATAATGGATTTACAGTTTGGCTGTTCTTTCTGACATTAGAGACAGTCGGAACAGTCTGCTATATAGTCTGTTTGTGTAACACATAAAAAGATATAGAAATATTGCCTTCGGATTAACAAAAAACCCAGACATCAGATGAATGTAATACAGATATCTGGGAAAAATAAAGCTTGAAGTCAATTCTCTTACATAGCTTTGTTGTGAACAACATCCTTGGCCTAAAGATTATTGATGTATTATGTTGAGATCAGTGATATATTTATTCCATTTTTCAGCAGTCTTATCGTAGTTTCATAACAGGAAAGAAATTTGATTGTGGAGGCGGAAACTAGATAAGGTCATGTTAAGGTGTTTTACTGCATCAAATAGTGCCGAGGTCGATTCCAGAATTCTCCATTTGCGCCATTTGTGTCTGCATGGCGGACTGTACTCGTAAGTTGAGTAAAATTTTGAAAACAGTTTGAAAACCAGTTGCTTCTTTATAACAAAAATAATGTGTATTATCATACAAACATATAAATTTACATGAAAATACATGCCATTTTGCAGGCACGATATGATATAATGATATGATATAATATCAAATCGTAGATTGTCTACAAGTTAATAATGTTTCAACAGTTAAATATTTGATACATATATATATATAAATACACTTATTGTTTGCGCCAGGCCGTATAGTTATTAAATTGTACAGTTGTCCTCCAGGTTGCGCGGGAAATCAACCTCGTCTCGTTTTCATCTCGTGGTTGTAGGCATACGATGACCAACCAATATTGAGATAAGTATAACAATAATAATGGTAAACATTTATTTTCCGATACGAATTTAAAACAAGCAATAAAGGTTAATAAAGCAGGATTTAATGAATTCATCAAATTTCGGTAGAACTCGTCAGCTTTATTTAAGGCGGTATGCGAATGAACGGTACAAAAATTTTCAGCGTATTCAGTTCCAAAGTACTTTAATGTTCACACAGGATTCACATGTAAAATAATATTCTGAAGTATATCTTCATTTCGTTGAAGAATTGTACAGAGTTTACTTAGGAGCATGTTAAACCATCGCGAAAGTTTATGTATAGGTTATTTGATACAACTGGACGATTAAAACAATGATAAATCGAGATGAAATTAAGCATTTTGGAGGAAATTAATTTCGGTAGCCCAATGATTTAAGCAGGCCGCCTTACGTACAACGTTTCCAAGGGTTTGAAACCTAATTTAGAAAAGTTGAAGTGCTAAGGTGAATCAATAAAGTGTAATGAAATAAATAAGTGCAAGTATGATTAATAAATGCATTAA